CCGTTTACAATTTGTATACTTCATTCTTGGAAATTGGAAGTAGCGCAAGATTCATGTCTCTAGTAGGTGAAAATAAATGTTCAACCTTCCTCCGTCTTATAGTAGTTGTCCACATTACTAAAAATATTTGTCTCAAATTATTTTTCAATTTACAAAATCAAGAAAGAATTAATTAAATAATTTTCCAATTTACCCTTACAATTGTTTCTTTTTAAAAGTGTAAATAAATTTGTTAAAGTTCCAAAAAAAAATTCTTTTTCAAGTATATATAGATTTAGTCAAGAATGCATCAATTACCTAAATTCTTAGTCCTACTCATTTGCATCTTGTATATTGTAGTGAACCGGAATTCTCAACACCAAATATTCAAGTATTATATAATCCTTGAAAATCACAACAATTTAACGATTGAATTATGACAATATATATATATACACAAAGAGAGACACACTTATATTATAACTAAATATACTTATTATGTATATCAAATATACACACTATATACTATCTATATCGCTTTAGAATCTATTGGAACAGGTGGATAAAACCTCATGCCTTCACAAAGCGAAGCATGAGTATACATCATGTTCTTTACTTCATCATAACAAACTAAAGCATCTGTTTTAAATTCTCCAATTTCTTTCAAGATTTCAGATTCCGATTCTTCGAAAGCAACCACAAAAACTAGGGGTGTCAAAAATGAACTCAAACATAGGTAATCCGCTCAGAATTTTAAGGGTTGGCTCAAAATAATTTGAATTGGGTTCAATCTCAACACATTCAACTCTAACCCATTTTAAGAGAATCCTCAATTGAGTACAATTCAATCTCCAGTTTCAACCCGTTTTAAAACTCTTTATTAAGATATGTTCCTATATTGAAGGTATGAATTATAATCTATTTAATATCTTTCAGAATTTATCTATCCATTTGTTACTTTTTTAAAAAAAAAATTGAGTTGAAATTCAAATTGTGATTATAAAAGTTAAATATCACTATGTTAAAATATTGAGATTAAGCGGGTCAAATTGGGCGGGTCAAAACCCAACCCGATTTTTAGCCCATTTGAACCCAAAGTAAACTTGGTCGGGTCAAGACCCAACCCGATTTCTATTTCAACCCATTTTAATATCTCTAATTTCAACTCAATTCACCCATTTGACACCCTTAAGAAAACCATGTCAATGCAGCTGAAGTCGTGTAACGTCCAGCTAAAATAAAACTTATCACTATATCAACAACGAAATCTTCATCAGAATGTCATGCACTCAAAAAATCTTGATAATAAACCAGTTGAATCCAATGATGACTTCTCATTCAACTCCCTCTGTTCTCCCTAACTATTTTTTTCGCGAATTCACCAACTTGTTCAACTGCAATTCGTAATTTCTTCTCCGAACCAATATGAAGAGCGCGGAAGAATGAATCTATTACTGGCTTAATCGAACACAATCTTCAAATGCAACCGCAAATTCTGCTTCAGGGGTTGGGGTGGGGTGGTAGGGGTTGAGGTATTAACAATTTATCTTTGATTAAATATTTTTTTGACTTTAGGAGATTAAAGTGAGTTAGAACAATTTTACCCAAATCATATTTGACCAAATCCTTATTTACCAATATTTTTTATACGGGTGGACTGTGATCCAATTCATTTTAATTCAATTCATATTCAATGCATTTAAATCCGATCTAATACACTCATTTGCCATCTCTAAACTAAATAAGTATTGTAGACATCTCAAAATAATATAGTTGATGAATAAAAATATACAAAAAAAAAGTAATAAAATTCAAATTTTGAATCAGCCTAGATAAACTAGGTAGCAAGTGAGTGGTTGTTTCCTTTACTTTTCTAAACGTTGTTTAGACGACAAAGATTGGAACTTGTTGACCAAACCACTTGGAAAATTTTGATTAGAAGACAATTATATTTATTCTGTTTATCTTTTCTTAATATAATTTATATTATATGATTGATTTCCCACGTCTGAACCCAACCCATTGTTTATTATTAATGATCATCTCCCTACAAATCTCATTTAATAGTCAAAGATAACTTTGTCATAATTCAAAAAACTAAACGTCACCAATTACTTTATATTTTTCATCTCCTCAAAATTGAGCTAAAAAGTAAAAACTGACCAAACAACTAGAAAAATGTCATTATCTCTAGGATGAACATTATAACAAAAATAATTTTTAACGAGTTTAAATATATATTAACAAAAAGTATTAAAACTTTTATCAGTATTAGTTATTTGTTATTGGATTTAATATTGCTATAGGCATCATCGTCCATCAACATTTATAAGAGTGTTAATTGCCACTAAAAGTATATATTTAACAAAATTAAGATATTACTATTAATTAATTGTCGATAAAGATCATTTTTTATATAGTGTGATTAGCCGTTGAGCAAACAAGCTTATGTCATTACCAAAAATCATGGATCAATGCCACTGAATTCAACGAAACCCATAAACTATATTAATTTCCAACTTGGCTCTTGGCTGAATAAATTATTTTAATTTAACAAAAAAAAAAATTGTGCTTGATGTAAAGAGATTGTCCATATCAAGTGGGAGGATTTTATTAAAGAAAGCTAGTTGATCATATGTTGTAATATCTAGTTATTACTATCGTTATTTTATTAAATCAACAAATCCTTGTAAAATTACATGTACTTCAATTTTTTAATAACATGTTGTTCTAACTATTTATTTATAAAAAAAAAAATGGAGATATGTGATTTATTAATTTAACTTCTTAGGATAATTCAAAATCAAATCGCATGTCCAAACAATATTTCAACATCAAATAACTGTGATTGCAAATGAGCAAATAGTTATAAAAGTCAAAAACATCAGGGGCAAAAGTGTCACTTGATGTTTATTTCAAAAAAAAATTTAGAACTAGTATTCGTGTCCGCGCGTTGCACAGATATTTTAAAATTAAACTTATAATTTTTTTTTGTATTTTTCAATTGTTAGTTCTTTGTGATTTTTTTAAAAAGATTGTCCTAGTCTAATAAATGTAGGGAAAATATATCCACTTGAATTAAAATTATCGTAAGATCTTATATTATGTGTAATAACATTAAGTTATTTCAAAAAGTAATTCTTATAAATCTTCAAGAATTAATTTCATAAGTAATTCACATATTGTTAGTAATACAAATCAATTGAAGTATAATAAAATTTTAAATTTTAAAATAAATAATAATGTGAGGAGTAATTATTAAATTTTATATATATATATATATAATATCCTAGATTTACAGAAAAAATATGTTATTATTTTAACAGAAAATATATTTATAATAATATAAACCTCTATCTATGATTGAATAAATATTTTGATATCAAAGTTGTTATTCATAACCACTCCATAACTGTCTTATATTTTCAATTGAAGTGTCTCTTTTTTATATTTTTAACTACTCTGATTTTATTTATTTTTCTGTCGGACATTAATTTTTTATTTTCAAATTTCGTTTTCATTAATTATGAGTATTAATTGGTGGAATAATTCCTTCTCTCTTTTTTTCCGGAAGAGTGAATTCAACATTCAATTATTTTTCTTATCAGTTAAATTAAATGTCAAAATTTAATATTTTTTTAACAAAGCAAAAATATGAAGTGAAAAGTTACTATGAGTATTAGTAATTGTTTTTTTTATTTATCTTTAATATACAGTTTAATATAGAGGCAGTTAACCATTTTTAAAAAAAAGTTGTATTCAAATTTTAAAGTTGAATTCAAATTTTTAAATTTTAAATTAATTAAATTCAAAATTAATATTAATATATTTACTAAAGAAATGTACTATTCATATTCATGATTGAATAACTTGATCTATATATTGACGTTTTATTGACTTTAACTTTTTTTTTAGATAAAATAGAAGCGGAAAGTTAATGAGTAGTTTTTTTTTTCTATTATTTTTTAATGTGCAGTCAAGTAAGAAAGATAATGTCAAGACTAACTTTTAATTCATATATTATTTGTTATGTACATCCTTTTAATTAGTTTTAAAAGTTCAACTGATAATTGAAGGTATTTCATTACGGTTAGGATTGTAACTGTTATAAATTAATTAATTAATTTAATCACCATAAGATAAATAATGGCTTTATAAAAAATTTGACAGAATAAATTAGTCATAAATAATTAATAGTTGTATCATCAATTTTGTTTTTTTTTAAAAACTTGAAGGAGTATAGTTTGTTCATCCATGCTCTTTTATATCTGTAATTATCATGTAAGGATTTTTTTCCTACAATATACAGATACTTCTCTTGGCTAAAATAAGTACACAATACTAATTTTTACCCTTCTAAAAAAATGTACATATTCTTTTGAATCAAATCAAATTTAAAAAAAATAATCAAAAATAGAATTATTTTCTCAACATATCTTCTTGTAGACAGTGAAATTTTATTGATAAATCCATATTAAATTTTGGATTAATCCATAAATTCATGATATATTGGTCAAGTCAAATTACTGGTTAATAAAGTCGGATTAATATTTAAGTCAAAATATATGACTTAAATAAAGTCCAAATCACATTTGGGTCAGTCCATTAAGTTGACAAGACGAGCCCAACTCATGTTCTTCAAGCCCAAGGACCAAAATACCCCTAAAACCCTAGCTCAAGCCTATATAAAGAGATCTTCATAAGACCAGAAGAAAGGAGGAAGAAAAGAAGAAGACATATAGAAATACATAGAGAATCCTTGCTCTTCAGTGGTGATCTGCAAGTCTTCCGCATACAAAGAAGTCTTCGCTCCAAGTATTGAGCCGCAAGTATAAAGAAGTCTTCGCTCCAAAAGTTGAGCCGCAAGTATTCCATCAAATCAAGAACATCATTGAAGAGAAGAATCAGGGGATTAAATATCTTTTCTTAAAGATTTTATAAAGATTGTAACCTTCGCATAAATTCAAATACAAATACTGTTGTTTACTTGCTATTTTCCTTTCCTGTTTGTTGTATTTCAGGATTGAAACTTTAGACGCTTACAAATTGGCACGCCCAGTGGGACAATCTTTACCTCTCATCTCTTCTCTTCAAGACAACCAAAGTTCAAAAACACCGAGATGACTTTCAAAAGGATCAACTCGAAATCCGCATTTGCATCCAAATCTAGATCTACATCCGTATCCGCATCTGTATCCAAATCTGGATCTACATCCGTATCCGCATCTGGATCAAAATCTCCATCTGCATCAAAATCTGCATCGGCATCGAAATCTGCATCTGCATCTGTATTCGCATCTACATCTGCAAAAACTGATGGATCCAAGTTCTGCATCGATGTCGAAAACATCCTTGATGTTACTGCGGGAAGCATGAGACCTATCACAAGGAATCAAGCCAAATTGTTGGGACAACAAGCCTCACAAGTGTCGTCTGAATCTGCTACTGTCTTTGGTTTGTCTCCAAAACATGTGAAGTCTCCTGCAAAAGCTGCAAAAGAATCCATCGCTGAAATAGTTGAGAGGGTTCTTACTCGATTGAGCCTATCTATATCCAAAAAGTCCTTCGCTTCAGCCGATAATGATGTCCCACTGGGCGTGCCAATTTGTAAGCGTCTAAAGTTTCAATCCTGAAATACAACAAACAGGAAAGGAAAATAGCAAGCAAACAACAGTAATTGTATTTGAATTTATGCGAATGTTACAATCTTTATAAAATCTTTAAGAAAAGATATGCAATCCCATGGTTCTTCTCTTCAATGATGTTCTTGATTTGATGGAATACTTGTGGCTCAACTTTTGGAGCGAAGACTTCTTTGTACTTGCGGCTCAACACTTGGAGTGAAGACTTCTTTCTACTTGCGGCTCAACACTTGGAGCGAAGACTTCTTTGTATGTGAAAGACTTGCAGATCACCACTGAAGAGCAAGGATTCTCTATGTATTTCTATGTGTCTTCTTCTTTTCTTCCTCCTTTCTTCTGGTCTTATGAAGACCTCTTTATATAGGCTTGAGCTAGGGTTTTAGGGGTATTTTTGTCCAAACATTTTGGTCCTTGGGCTTGAAGAACATGAGTTGGGCTCATCTTGTCAACTTAATGGACTGAGCCAAATGTGATTTGGACTTTATTTAAGTCATATATTTTGACTTAAATATTAATCCGACTTTATTAACCAGTAATTTGACTTGGCCAATATATCAAGAATTTATGGATTAATCTAAAATTTAATATGAATTTATCAATAAAATTTCACTGTCTACACTTCTTTAAACATAAAATTTATCATTGATTAGTTATGTTTTCAAAACTTCCGTTAAGCATAGAATTTGCAAATATGATAAAAAAATTTTTGAATAAAGTAGAGATGATAAGGAGAAGTTGACCTTTATGTATTGTCTTCTTCATCAACATGACCATTTAGCACAAAATTAATGTTGTACTACTTCTGCTCTAATAGACGTATTTGTTATTTTGACAATTGAAGAGCATTAACTTTCTCTCAACTGTTCAGAAACCACATTCACATAATAAGGAGAAAGATAAACATAAATAAATATATAGACCTAAAAAAACTCTTTTACAGTTTTTTGTTTTACTTTAAAGAATTCTTTTTTACAGTTCGTTCCCTAATTATTTGGCTTCATGAAAAATATTTTTAAATCATTTTTTTATTTTGCTTTATCCATATATTACAGAAAACGGAACATGAGTTGGGGTGGTTATTAATTTAGATATAAGAGATTTTTTTATTATTATTTAAAAAAAAATAATTGGCACGTGATGATTAAAAAAAATTGAAACGGTAAACATTTATCTTTAGTTTTAAAATTAAAAATCATAACAAATGTACTTTTAAATTAGTTTTGTAATTTATTATTTAATTCTTAATTAATAATTTATAATTATGTAAAATTCCTATTTTTTGTGGTGCTGACACGTGACACTTTTTCTTCTCCTATTATATATAGATAGATTTTTGTTTTTTACAATCAATTTTAAAATTTATTTTTTATAATGATAATTATTGTTTTATTGTGGTGCTGACACGTGACACTTTTTACTTCTCCTATGATATATAAATAGATTAAGATTATTATTATTATTATTATTATTATTACTGTTTATATTTAGTTACCGAAAATTATGTATTTGTAGATGGATGGTGTAATAGTTAAATAATAATTTATAATTGATTATTATGTGTATTTTTAGTTACCGTAGTATTAAATGTGTCAACACTAAAAAAAAATCTAAAAAATTGTGGTATGGATAAATAATTTTTAAAAACTGTTGTATTGATAAATAATTTATTTTTGTTTATTTAAAATGTTTTGTAACTACCGTAGGGTCAAATTGTAATTATTCAAATATTTCAATATTTATTTAAATAATTATTTATTATTTATTATTTATTATTGATGATTTAAAATTTAAAAATTTTAAAAAATTATGGTAATGACATGTGTCATTTTTTCTTTTCCTTTTATATATATAGATAGATAGATTATAAAACTCTTTCTACAGTACACGAAGAACAAGAACAAAACCTAATTTTATTACTCTACTTCTCATGTGTCTCAATTTGGCTTCTCACTTCCCAAAGAGAACTAAGGCATACATATCTATTTCATACCGCTATATAGTTTGTGTATAAAACTTATATAGGAAATTCATGAAAATCATTTCTTGAGGCGATCGTTGACTCTGTTTCCGACTTAGTTATCTTCTTTTATATATACACCTATTCATTTATTTTCATTTGTGCTTATGGTTGTTACTCATTCATTCTGGACCTTTATTGAAATGCTTTTTAATTAGACCAGATTTTTTGTTTCTTTCCTTAGATTTATTACTATGTATAATGGGGTCAATTTGGAAACGAGTCACATTTGATGGAAACCTTTTGATTTTCACTGTGTTTGTGTTTTCATTTATTATGTTATATCTGGCATTTATGGTGTTATAGGTATTGTAAAGAAGATGCTAGAAATTTAGAAATCCAACTCTTATGATGGATTAATTCTCCGGCGACATTAGTTGTTGTGCCTTTTGATCTTTCCTACTAGAGATAGTTGTCTCCTACTAGTAGGATTTGTAGTTGATCACTCGTTTCCTTTATCATGTACTTTCAATTGCCAACAACCTTTTTACTAGGGTATGTCATGAGTATTGATTCCTTTTTTGAGTCAAAGATCTATCAAAAATAACTTTAATTTTAATACCACAAAGTTAGGTAAGATCTTTGTACATCATACTCTTACAAGATCACACTTGTGGGAATACACTCGATTTATTGTTGTAATCATGAATGTGGTTTTGAGGGCCTTTAAATTTAGGTAGATTCACTTATCCTTCCTCATACCAGCCGAAAAGAATCTACATGTGGAGATTGTTTCATCTTTTCTACCCGATGTCTTATTTGGGACTTTTGGTTTGACTTTTTGTGTATGTCACTTGACATTTAAGCAAGAATTTCTCTAACTTCTATAAGGGGTTATTTTTCCGGGTCTTAAATATGTATAACTATGTCTTAAATATATATATCCAAACAATGAGTTAATACCTCAGATGGTCATTTAACTATGCACTTTTCTCTCAGAAAGTCACTCAACTTTCAATTTTAACTCAAAAGTCACTCAACTATGCACTTTTCTCTCAGAAAGTCACTCAACTTTGAATTTTAACTCAAAAGTCACTCAACTATCCACTCTTCTCTCAAAAAGTCACTCAATATATTTAATTATTTTTTTAATTAAAATTTGCTGATATTAATTTTTTATATAACAAACCAAAATTTTAAAAAATCAAAAATACCATTTAAACCATTTAATGACCCGCTACACTTGATCCGACCCGCTAAAAATATAATATTGACCCATTTTATTTTGCCCCAACTCCTAAATTACTCCTCTGCTCCTAAAAATATATAATGCCATTTTATGTATGCACTTTTTCCTTTATGAAGCAAGTTAATGAATTTACTAAGTTGCCATCTCTTCGAGGGTCTGCTGCAACTTTCCTTGTTGCCATCTCTTCCACTTTCACTCAGGTTAGCTGTCATTGAATCGAATTTAGGATTACTAAAAGTGTTACTAATAGAGTTTCAAAGTCAAATTGAAATTAAAATATAATACGGAAAAAAAAAACCATGCATCAAATTCCTTTAATTTCCTACATAAATATAGACCTTGAATTTGAGATGCCTAAATTAAAACCTAACTAAAAGAGCAAACTAAAAGAGGAAGAAGAAACATTATGGAGAACCAGAAAAAAAAAAAAAAACGCACATCAGAAGGAGAAAGAGTCATAAAATGGGTCAATATTATATTTTAGCGGGTCGGGTCAAGTAGAGCGGATCATTAAATTGTTTAAATGGTATTTTTTATTTTTTAAAATTTTGGTTTGTTATATAAACAATTAATATCATCAAAATTTAATTAAAAAAGCAATTAAATATATTGAGTGACTTTCTGAGAGAAGAGTGGATAGTTGAGTGACTTTTGAGTTAAAATTCAAAGTTGAGTGACTTTCTGAGAGAAAAGTGCATAGTTGAGTGACTTTTGAGTTAAAATTGAAAGTTAAGTGACTTTCTGAGAAAAGAGTGCATAGTTGAGTGACCATCTGAGGTATTAACTTCCAAACAATAGGTCCTACTTTATTATAAACACATATCAAACCTTTTGAAATATATGATTAAATAGGATAAAAAAAAATTATTTATGTTGTAAGTTTTTTAACTATCGTTAAAGTTCCCTAATGAATACAAGTTGTATTTTCTGTCCTCAAGTTGGTCAAGTACATTAAGAATTGGCTGGATGGAACAAAATCATCAAAATGTTTTCACCCCTAGAAAGATACATCAAAACAATATCCATGTTATGAACTTACTAAACTCAAAAGGCAAGTGGTAGATGAAGAGGAATTTGTTGTGCAGTGTGGTAGATGTTTCAAATGGCGGTACATACCTACAAAGGAGAGGTATGAAAAAATAACGGAACAGATGTTGGAACATCCCTTCTGCTGTGAAGACTCTCGT